GTGCTTGGGAATGACCCATGTGGGAATTTATGAGTTAAAAATAAAAATAAATAATAAAATAAAGTGCGAGATACATCTTCTAAACAGCTGGTTGGAAATCAGCTAAACAGCTTTTCTGCTATTTTGACAGCTTAATGATCAGACGAAGGTCATTTTGAGGGTTAAACATGTGAAGGAAGATGAAACACACACTCACACACTGGACTCCTTCCTAAATGGCTAAATCTGCCGGTTCCGGCAATTTGGCCGGATTGAAGCACGATCGGCGTCTGTGTAAGAGTAACGAGGTTTTCTCATGCAGTCCACTCACAACATAAAGCTAAACCTTCCATGTCGCTGGACTTGGGAAGTCAGAGTTAAGAGAGTCAAAAGGCAGGCGGTGCAAATATGTGAAGAGTCAAGGAAGAGACCAGGAGGCCGGGAGGAAAACAAACACCTCACCCTGCTCGGGAGAGATGGGCAGAGTGTGACAGCTTCTTCATTCAAAAGGAGAGGAGAGATATCCAATTATCTCCCACCAGATAAGAGATGAGGCAGAAAAAGTGCCTTTGAGGAACCCAGAAGGGTTCAGAAAAAGCTTTAAATCCCTTTTTCATAAAGAAAAGAACTTTTTAAAACAGTGATTCTGCATCGTGATTATCCCAGTAACACACACCTGCGTTTAAACACACCTATGCTGGATTATCTCCACTGGAAGTGACTGTTGCTGTCCTGTGTGCGCTGCAGGATTATCCGTCTCATGCTACGTAGTGTGAGTGATTAAAATCTCGTTATCATAGCTACGGCCACAGTACGGTGCTGTGGTGGCCATGTGAGACACGGCGACGGCTTCCAGAGGTGATCCATCAGAGATCATTGACCGCTGCACAGAGAAATTCAGACACAGGTGTCGGACGCATGGTGTCACGCAGGAGTTGAGCGAAACAACTGGGAGCCGAGGATTTGGGAGCCGCCAGACACGTTCAAAATCCAGCATTTGGAAAGAATGGACTATGAAGAATAAATCAATTCACCTGCTGTTGAAAGGGATAAAATGAAGCTTTCAGAGCCTTCAAAACAAAATGACATGCAGCTGGTGAGGACAGCTCTATCTGGGGTAGTAGGGCACAGCACGCAACCAAACCCTCGTTCCATCCCTGCAGACAAACACATGCCTGCAAAGCTGGCACTTTCTGCTGCAAGCGTCTGCACTCAGATGCTTTGTGGGCATTTTTCTCTGTGAGAGAGCGTGTGTGTGAGTGTGAAGGAGGAGGTGACGCCAAGTCCCATCCATCACTGCCACGGGCATGCATTAATCCCTTTCTGCATTCTCAAGGAGCTCTGACGCCAAAAGGGAGTTTGTGGCCTCCCCCACGTTGGATAGGGCACAGCTGCCTATTATACCCACTGTACGGCTATACTTTACTCAAAATTTGTTTGGCGCAGGGGAGAGCTGATGAATCATGTGATTTAAGCTCGAGAGCCAGAGGAAAAAACGAGAAACTTCCGAGCCAAACGGAGCCATGTGTTCCCGAGTAACCATCAGACTTTTACGGTCTGTTAAAAACCCGAGTGCAGATAGCAGTCAGGTTAAATACAACATGAATCACTCAGGTCACTCTGATCAACTGCTAATGTAAGCAGGTGACCTTACATGTGATGAATAGGAGGGAAATAAAAAAATAACAGCTAAAGCTGGCAATAGCTCAGAACTCTCAACACGGTTTATTCATCACAGTCGTGCCTGCTTAAGCCTATAACCGTGACAACCTGACAGGAAAAAGCCACAGCGGAGCTCTAAGTGTATTAGTGGTGGTTAGACAAGTCTGGGCCCGTCTGGTTGGTCCACTCATTGTGCTCGAGGTTAGCAGACAACAAAGCGGCTGATGTTCAGGGTCTATTAGGAGCCATTACCTGAGACAACTACTGCTGTTATTCATGTCTGCCTTTGATCACATCTGACAAGTTAGTTTTTAGTTAAAAGTTCGGGTTTGACGTTTCCGGTTAGAATTTTTTATGCATGGGAACAAAATCAAACAAGCTGTAATTGAAGGTGCACCGATCCTGGTTTGGAGGCCGACAACGAATTCTGTACAACTTGTACCTGGGTGACATCACACTGGCAATGGTGAGGTTATGGGCCAGGAATTTTGTATAATAAGACAGGCCGAGCACCATCACTGATCTGGAAAGTCTGGCATTTAAAAGAAATTCAAGAAAAATAAAAAATGGGGTTAACAACAATTATTGCAGTAAAATTAAAATAATCAGTCGCTTCAATTTTATATGGTAAAAATTGCATTCATGGACCACCTTGAGTCACAACAGTGGAAGAATGTGTTGACAGTGGCGAGGAAATAGGCTCGTAGAAGCTAACCATTAGCATTAGCATCTCCACATTTAGCTTGTTATTTGGTGAGCTAAAAGATCAAGACCAAACAAACACAGCGGACGAGTCACATTGCTGTTGGCCAATCAGAGGCGAGATGTTCACATATCTTTAATATTAATGGGTAAG